GAGATTTAGATTAGATGTAAGGAGGAAATTTTTTACAATGAGGGTAATGAAACACTGGCCCAGGTTACCCAAAGAGGTAGTAGATGCCCCATCCCTGGAAACATTCAAGGTCAGGTTGGATGGGGCTCTGAGCAACCTGATCTAGTTGAAGATGTCCCTGCTCATTGCAAGGGGGTTGGACTAGATCAGCTTTAGAGGTCCCTTCCAACCCAAACCATTCTATGATTCTCCTTCACAGCTCTGACCATTAAGATTTAAAATACTGCTTAATCCACACATTTCCATCAGCTTCTTTTATACCCCTAAGCTTGCTGCTGAGTGAATGGCAGTATTGCCATCTACTGGGCAGCTCCCTCCTTCTCCCAGCCTCTCAGGTGGTGGAATGGCTCTTGGGTAACACTTGTCCTCCTCCTCTGTGGAACCAGAGACACCATGTATCACACTGAGATATAGCAAAAACAACAACAACAAAAAAGCCTGCTCAGGTCTGGAAGTGGGGATGTCCTGGGGCTTGGCTGTGTTTCCATGTCTGACCTGGCACACACAGCCACAGCTGGAGGAAACCATCTCCAGAAGGTAAATGCTCAAAAACCTCTATGGATGCATCTACATTTTGTCCAGGGAAGCTGAAAGAGGAACCAAAACTCCTGTGGTTGGACATGCCCTGACTCCATCCCATAGGTAGATGTATGAAACACATCAAAGCAGGAATATCTGCAACCAGCAGAGCTGAAATATTTTGGCATGAGCATGGATGCTGTGAAGACGTCCATTTCAGTCCAGCTGAGGAGGCTGAAAGGCTTGAGATGTCCTGGGAACCCAATTCCCTGGGGACCACATGAACCACGCGCCAGGATAAAACATTACAGGAGAACCCTGCCACCAGGATGGATAACATAAAAGCATCTCCTTCCTCAATAAACCTGCTCCACTGAGATACCTTGTGGAGGAAACTATTATCTATTACATTTCCCTGGAAATAAATACTTGGCTACTACTTTGGAGTAAATAGAGACGAGAACTTAATGGTCCTTAAGTGCTTTTCATAGTCAAAGCATCCCAAAGTGCTTTCCGGTAATTAAGGCTGAATAGCTGTCAGGAGGCAAGAGAGCTCCTTGTAGCCACACTCCCAAATATCCATCATTTTTGCCTGCAAGTGAGCAAGGGGACGATTGGGTGAAGGAGTGGTACAATTTCGACTAGAGGGTTATTTTGATAATGGATAGCAGTCCCAGGGTAGGGTTTGGCTGAGGAGATGTCTATAACCAGAACATCTCTATTCAGCTGCAGTGTGATTGAGGGTCCCATTGCTGAGCTTATCTCTGTGTGACTTTAAATCTCCCCATTCTGTTGCGTTTTGGGCTAGTTGAGATGCTCAAGCATATGAAGACATCCCCATGGGGCTGGTGGAGATGACAAGGGACCTCAGGAGAGCTGTGCCCCTTTGACACAGCAGGATGGGATGAGATGTCCTCAGACATCCCTAATGGCACTGACCACTCTGAAACCTGCACCCCCAGCACCTACAGCCTTACCTCCCCAAATAGATCAAGGTGGTGTAGCCAGTCCTACACCTCACCGGAGCATTCAACACCTAGTGGGACCAGCCCGAGGAGATAAGTCTCTTTTTGCCATGGTGATCTCCTTTTTCTGCTCCCCATAAAAATGTGGGGAGCAACAGTTTTCCAAAATCTAGTTTGTTCCCTAGTTTAGCTGCATCCTCACTATGCAGCTTTGGAGAAAAGGATGGGAATGTTTTATGTGAGTATTGTAGGACTGTGCCCAGCCATGTTTTCCCAATACCATTGGATGTCATATCGCTTTGACATCTTGTATCTTCACACAGTAAAAGCTGTGTGAAGCACAGCATTTTCCATAGGCTTCCTGCAGCATCCTCCTGGGATCAGGGCTTTGCCCAGCAGCGCTGAGGAACAAGTAGCTCTGGCAAAGCTCTTGGACAGTGAGAGGTAAATGAAGCACAGGAGAAGCACATGCACCGTGCCTGTGTGCTGCCAGGCTATCGCCTTCCTCTTATCCTACGCAATAAATCACAGCTGAGCAGCACAAGCTGTTCCTGTCATCGAAACATGGAAAGAATCACTCCTCTTGGCACTGGAGAGGTGATAATGACCCTGAATCAGAGCTGTGTGTCTCCAGCACCTGATTCTCCTGCTCCTGTGGGTCCAGCCTGATGTTTCTCCTCCTGGCTGTTACAGAACAGGTCCAGGTCTTGCTCATGTGGAAGAAGAATTTAAAGGAGCAATGTCCAGCCTGGCTTTTGGAGCAATTTATGACAAGAGGTTTCAAGCCCCCGATGACCACGGCTGCCTGTAGAGATCAGGGGCAGAAGCTGTGGGAAGAATCTGCAGGCAGAAGCAGGGACAGCCCGTCACTGCTGTCATGTCAGGGGTTAAGCAGGGGCTGGCTGTGACTTTCTGGGTTGTGGCAAGGCACATGCATGCTCATTAAATTGTTAATGTGGTCCTGGGAGTGCTTTTGGCCCAAGGAGCAGCAATGTCCCCGATAGCTCCTGGCTCTGCTCAGCCCAGGACGGGGCTGGAGGGTGGTCAGAATTTGAGACCCTGTGTGACATCCCCAAATCCCACCATGGCCCATGGACCACACACACAAGAGTTAGACCCCCAGCCCCTGCAGGCATCAGGCACTACAAAACCACCAGGCACTCTAATCCTCCACTTCTCAGCACCTGAGTAATTTTTGGAAGTGGTTGGAGGGGCTCCCTTTAAAAATCTCATTTCCTAAAGCCTGTGATCCACGTCTTTTTAATTCTGTCTGAAACTCAAAGTGAAAAGCTTGACTATAGCCAGGCCAAGATCTCAGATGCCAGCACACTCCTGTCACTTGGCTGCTAAGTGTTCTTATAAGGGACATTACTCCACCACTGAGAAATTAAACAATTGAACTTGATACAACAGCAGAAGTCACACACGCTGCCTTAAAAACAGTAAGAACTGTTCCATAATATTAAGGGGCAGGAAAGCTGAGATTCAGGGAGTTTTTAACTTGTTAGAAGAGGAGAATTGCCAAACTATTGAGCACCCAGGAGACACTGACAAGTGCAGTCCAGTAAAGCAGAGAGCTAAAAATACAGCTGGGACTCCAGTGCCTCACAAGCCACAAAGAAAGTGCTGCTGGTTTCATTTTCGTTTGTGTTTGCTGTAATAAGGAAGATTTATCTGTTTGCAAATCCGACCTCTGGATAACGGTGGTGAAAAGCAGCTCCTGTGTGTCACAGCTTATCTGTGTGTCTGCAAACAAACACGAAGGACAGAGTGCAAGGCTGCGTACATGACATTTTATCATTCTTGGCCCATGAAGCTTCTCTAGCAGTCGGTGAGAACCGTATCGGTTATTCCTTTGGTTTGCCAATGCCCTCTAGTGGCTTTTGGTGAGAAGAAATCACAGAATCAGAATCATTAAGAATCATTGGGTTGGAAGGGAACTTAAAGATCATCCAGTTCCAACCCCCCTGCCATCAGCAGGGACACCTTCCACTAGATCAG